GATTACTGTGATTTTGCCAAAAGGTATCATTAAGAGAGTACTGGTACCGAAAGGGAATAATTTCATTTGTAAATGTTTTGTATGTTTATCATAATGTTCTGTTGTTTCTAAATGAAAAGAAAAATACAACTCCGGTAACTTTTCAAAACTCGCGGTTGTCTGAGTCTCATTCAGTTCGCCTCTCCTGTACGTAGCCGAACCAACTGGTCCAAATCATTGAGCTCTTTGGTGTCAAATTTGGGTGACATGCCTTTTTTGATCTGGGAGTATTCGAAACACGCACATTAGTGTTACCTATGCCATTGGTAAACCCGAACACCAATTATTCTCGTTGTGGTGTCCATGTGGCTCAGAGGTCACGATAAAAAGGCGATAGAAAAAACACAAAAACGGCACTGTTTGGTCCAGAGTGGTCGCTGCGTGCTGTTGCCGTACCGCCATCTCATCTACTTGTAATAATAATATTTGTAAACTTGTAATAATTCTACTTGTTCCCACTGTGTTCCCCACCTGTTTCTACTCGCCTCATATCCTCTTGTAGTTATTGTCTCAGTCTTCCGTCGCTTTTTCAGTTTTCTGCCTCTGTTGTGTATTTGCTCTTGTTACCCGGATACTTAGCTGTGTGTATTCTAGTGTTCCCTGGATCATTACAACACTTGTGTGTTCATAAGTCAGTTTTCCTAGTATTGATTCCTTTTGGACTTTTTAAACCTGACAGCAATAAAAACTTGTCCTATTTTGATTTTGTCTACAGATGAAGCTCTGTACGGTTTGTAATCTGTCCACTTAAACATGTTTTGTCTGTGGATATAGTTTCATTATTCCTCATCCTGAACAGAACTCATAGACTGGGCAGCATCGTTCCTCTTTTTAGTAGTCCTGTCAGCAATTTTTCTTTTCGTTTATAAAAATAGAACTTCCAAGCAAATTGTTTCTGTGGGGTACTGTGTGTTTCCCCGTCCTTCACTCGTGTATGTTCATTTGAAGAGGAAAAACCTTCCACGGGACTCCGATATGAAAATATACAAACAGAAATATAATTCAGAGCATGTAAATTGTCTTACAGGCGTAATGAGGTTTAAGTTACCCTCAACAACAAACAAACTACGGTAGAAAAACCGTGTGGCTCTGCAGCGTCTTGCCTCTGCTATGTCCCCACCCCCTCAGCACCGTGTGCACTTAGTTGCATAAATCCATGATGGATTTAAAGTATAAACCTAGCCTTTAAAGTGAACATATTCAAAGTTTTACTTTACCAAGCCAAAAAACAATAAAATAATTTTAGTTTCACTATAAACATGAATTTACTTATTAAATTACTAATTACCCAAAATAAGTTTAACAGCAAATATAAATTGAACTATATTAACCTGGCTCCCACACTGTGTGTCCTGCTGTGTAGACTTGCCTTTCTTAGTTTAACATAGTTTCCTTGTGTTTCTCTTCACTTATTACAGCAGTTCTGGTGAAATCACACTTCTTAGGCTGACTAAGGCTGCACAGAAAACGTGACATAGCAGGAGATCAGGGACTATCATGATGCTGCGTCTTTAGACCCAGCTTTAAGTTACAGACCAAGATTCATATTCTTCAGTATCCTGAGTAATTGGGCCTAATTGGGCCTATTTTTTTATGATACCATATTATGTTTTTGTGTTTACACCATCAGGCTATAGGTTAGTTCTTGGTCATAGTTTGTTTATGTTCTGCTTCAGTTTAATCTTTCTTCTGTGTCATGGATTCAGCCAGACGCCTCCAGAAAGACTCTTTATATTGGTTCTGATTAGCAATAAGCATGATTAACTATCACCAACCTACTTAACACTCACACTAGGGCTGCTCGATTATGGCAAAAATGATAATCACGATTATTTTCACTGAAATTGAGATCACGATTATTTGACGATATTTATTTAACCCTTTAAGACCTACTATAGAACCAAGTCCACCAGAGCTTATATTGTTTTTTTACATGTTGTAGTGCCATTGGGAGCATTTCAAGTTGCTATACGTCAATACAACTGTTATTGCCCATATTTTAATAATATGTATGCATTAAGTCCATAGTAACTACATTAATTGCAAAAAAAAGTGCAATAAACTACAAAAAAATTGAAAATCATTTTTGTTTTTGTTTTTTACATATATTTCTACTTGGAGAAATTTAAAAGGTTTATCCCTCAAAACTTTAAATGCAAAAAATAGTTTACAACAACAGGAAATTTATTTTGAGTGTCTTCATAGTTTTATTTTGGAGATAAAGCAATTTTTATATACTGCAGGAAAAACAAAAAAACAATCCTATGATTCAAATTTGCAAAGAAAACAGCATGTGCATCAAAATAAACTATTTCCAGCAGTGCAATATGAGTTCTAAGCATCCCATCAGAAAAGTCAAACATGACTTATAAAAACACCAGTATAGGTTTTTAAGGCCTGCAAGTAAAAAACTACATTTTCCGCGAAGATGACGTCTATTCCGGTTTCTGGCAATGGCGGACATGCGATAGTTCGCGCTGCCGTCTGTTTCAATGTCGGAAGTGTTACGAACAGCTGATCGGATTGGCAAAGCGTGTTTCTGGAATATTATGTTTTTGTTCCTGCTAGTGCTTTTTATGCAATTTTTGCAAAGCTTTATGTGGAAGGAAACCGTGACCGAGGACAAGCTGATGGCATGAGATGTGAGTACAACTCCTCTGATTTCATATGCAAAAAAAAATGATTGCGCTAGCTTACGCGGTTCTGGTTCTACAGGGATTTAAAAATAGTTATGCAAAACGGAGCATGCCCACTCTGACTGGCTTTAAAGGGTTAACAATAACAATGTATTGAATAATGACTTTAAAAAAATAATATAAAACAGTGTGCAAATACTGATAACAGTGCAAATGTTTGCAATATAAGAAATAAATGAAAAATCTATGTTTAGTGAACTTTGCACTGTTGCTCTGTGGTGCAGCTACGACACCGTAGCAAAGTTTACACACTATGTCTACTTGATCCACGTCTGACTCCGCGAACCCATAATGTTTCCACACCACTGAAGTTTTTTTTTTACCCCTCTTTTCAACCAACAGCAATCACTCTCCTCTCCAAATAACTTCTGCTTAGCTTTCCGAGTTTCCCTCGGGTCCTCTTAATTGTTGTGACGCGTGTTCGAAACGCAGAGAGGTGCGCTCGATTTGCCACACGGAGCAGCGCGAGAGTAAAGCACGAGGGAGGGGCTAATAATCGGCTCAGTCACTTTTAATGATCGTTGAAAGCCCAGATCGTAATCGTGATTAAAATTCGATTAATTGAGCAGCCCTAACTCAACACATGATGACAGGCCACAGACTTCCACACTCTTATCTTCACCACATTCCTCCAGCCAGTCTCACACACAGAGACTAATATGTTGAGGTTGGAGGTGAATGATGCCAGTGCAGGCAAAATCCAGACATTAAACAATTTTTCTTGTTCATCCTATTAATTAGGGTCATACTTCAATTAGAATTAAGCATGATTAATTATTTGGAGAACAGCATATAGATAAACATATAGATGTTAAATCCTCGTACTCCACTTTTGAGGGTGTGTTTCACATACCCTTTTAAGTCTTTGTCTCTGTGGTAGGTGTTCGTTACTCCCTGTTTTCTTTTGGTAACCTTTTTCTTATATGTTAGGGGTCAGCTTTACTTTCCCCATCATTTCCCCAGTTAGTCCCAGCTGTTCTTCCACCTGTTTCCTCTTCCTACTTTACCTTTTATGCATTTATTGTTTGAGTCTAGCCTTGTTTCTTGCCGCATTCGACCGTCTTTGGTTGTGTCTTCTGTCTTATCTATTTAAATTTGTTCTGTGAGTCACAGAGAATAAAATCAAGATTTTTTTTTTAAAGTTTATTACCATGTTCTGCATTTAAGGTCCTGCTCTGTCTGCCACACAGTCATCATATGACAGAAACAATAAATGGATTGTTCTCTTTCTTTAACCCTTTAAAGAACGCTTGGTTTTGCGTAACTATTTTTAAATCCCTGTAGAAACGGAACCACATAAGCTAGCGCAATCATTTTTTTTCATATGAAACCGGAAGAGTTGTACTTACATCTCATGCCATCAGCTTTTCCTCGGTCACGGTTTCCTTCCACATATAGCTTTGCAAAAACTGCATAAAAAGCCCTTGCGGGAACAAAAACATAATATTCCAGAAACACGCTTTGCCAATCCGATCAGCTGTTCATAACACTTCCCACATTCAGCGCGAACGATGGCGTGTCCGCCATTACCTTCCCGAAACCGGAAGTGACATCATTTTCGCAGAAAATGTAGTTTTTTACTTGTAGGCCTTCAAAGCCTATACTTGTGTTTTTATAAGTCATGTTTGACTTTATGCTTTTCTGAATAGTTTCTGGGATGCTTAGAACTCAAATTGCACTGCTGAAAATAGTTTATTTTAATGCACATGCTGTTTTCTTTGAAAATTTGCATCATAGGATTGTTTTTCGTTTTTCCTGCAGTGTATAAAAATTGGTGTATTTCGAAAATAAAACTATGAAGACACTCAAAATAAAATACCTGTTGTTGTAAACTCTTTTTTGCAACTTTTTTGCATTTAAAGTTTTGAGGGATAAGCCTCTTAAATTTCTCCAAGCAGAAATATATGTAAAAAACCAAAAACGATTTTCAGGTTTTTTTGTAGTTTATTGCACTTTTTTGCAATTAATGTAGTTACTATGGACTTAATGCATACATATTATTAAAATATGGGCTATAACAGTTGTATTGATGTATAGCAACTTGAAATGTTCCCAAAATGGTACTACAGCATGTAAAATATAATATAAGCTCTGGCAGACTTGGTTCTATGGTAGGTCTTAAAGGGTTAAAAAAGTGGTTAAAAAAAAACAAAAACTAATTTTGACTTATAATGAAACAGATTTAAATAATAAGAAAGCTGATTAAAATGAACCTTCACAATAAAATTAGAATATTTACAGTATAAGACATTTAAAAAAAATGATGGGAGAAAGAAGTATGTACAGTTATTTCAAGTGATCTGATGGATATACGAGGTCTGGTGTTTGCCTGAATGGGAAGTCTCTGGCAGTGTCACTTTATCTGACATGGATGGAGTACTGCAAGAGTTTGTCTTTTGGCAAGTGCAGCATCACACAGGGTGGTCTGCAGGTGGTTCTTGTGGAGTCTTCTTTCTTTACCATTAAATACATTTTCGGTGCTGGCTCAATCGACAATCACAAAACAGCTGAAGAGCTGCTGTTAAGAGCTGTGGCTGAATTTGGATTGACATTATTGTAGTCAGAGCTCTCTTCTGGGTCACCACGTTGCCCTGTTGAGGTGATCAAATGAAAGCATTTCAAGTGTAATTATTAATGATGATAATTATCAAGGTATTTTCTCATGGTCATCACCTCACATTTTGTGCACTCACTTGTCTTGTTAATGACTGAGCTGAATCACAGATGTGACATTGTTATAATCACCTTCTGCTGGACCTGAAATAAGAATCTGATTGACTTTCATGTTAAACAGTTATTGTATCATCATCCAGCTTCCACAAGCTCTGTATTAATGAAAGTGTAAACTTTACCATTTTCAGTGTTTTCACATCTTCTGACTGTCTCATAGACAGAACGATCACCTGCAGGTAAGAGAAAATCAGTCACCTCATGTCTGTGATACTAACTTAAACACAAATATTCTTACAAATAACATTTATATTAAAAGCTGCAGCAGATGTAACAAGTACAGTCTTGTTGCAAATAGCATCAGAATATTTGAAACTGCATGAAAAACTAACCATGAAGAAGAGAGGAGAACACTTGCTGCTGATCTACATCCTGACTAAGCGTCTGCTCATTAGCAGCACCTTTATTAAAAATGTAAAATTAGATGTTTGTTTTATGTTGTTGTGGATTATACATTCTTGTGAACAGTTTGCATTTTATGACTCAATGCTGCATCTGTGTATTTAATCATTTAAGATATAAAATATGTAATATTAGAAGAAAAATATGAAAATCTCACCTTTGAACTTTTTACAGCAATACAACAAGAGCAGGATGAAAATAAATGTAATTCCAGAAATTGCTCCAATGCTTATCAGAATAGGAAATGAAGAGATTTCAGGACTCGGGACATCTACTGTGGATAAGAAACATATGTTTTAAACTGAACCTAAGTTATAAGTTAAAAAAAGTTAAATAATATATCATAAACTCACCCTTTGTATCAATGCTGACTGACTGGCTGTCCTCTGTGTAGTAAACTGGGTTTCCTCTTCCTCCTCTGCACCTGTAGAGTCCTTCCTGTGAGACACTGATTTGTCCATTTGAGTGGAAAACTGCATCTTGTGTGGTCAGAGGTTCAGACGAGTTCTCATCTCTGTACCAGTAGTATTTCCATCCAGATGATGATGATGAGTTCACAGAGCAGGTCAGGGACACACTGCCCCCTACTGGAATGTCTCTCATATCAGAAGTTATTTGGGCCTTTGGTTGATCTGCTGTTGAGTTTAAACAAAGACACAAAGAAAATATGAATATATACCCCACACACAGGCTGGGATCACACCAGTCTGATGTAATCTGCATGTGTCTGTATGTTGTTGGGAATAAACTTGCTCTCCAGTTTCCAACAACACATAGGAAGGAATAAGAGCAAACTGAAATGGTATGAGTGCTCTTACAGAGGCCGATAATGCATTTTATTCTTTTAGTGTTTATTTTTTTCTGTTTCATTATGATTCTTCTCTGGATTTATAAAAGAGTACCACAACAGAAGACACAGAACTTCTTCCCAATCGAAGTTTATAATTCCCAGACTAGTAGTAGTCTAACTAGTAGCTGCACAGAGAAATTTGAAATAGAAACACTTTATTTATGAGATTTTTAATTTCAGACTTTCATAAAGCATTTTCATTTGTTTAGATTATTTGTTCATGGCAAGTTTGCTTTGATTAGCAGATAGTCTTCTTCCTACATGACCAGAAGAAACGCATCAATATATTTCTCTGTATCTATAAACTTCCTGTTGCAAAAATACACACTAATATCAAAAAGTCACACATCACTGTTCGTTCCATCAATACAACAAAATGCAATGATTTATCTACCACTGTTCTTAAATGAAGTCTTTGAAAGCATCAATTTCCTGACAAAAAGAGAAAGAAGAAAAATCTTCAACAGTAATGCAACTGAACAAGGAAAATATTGCATTACTTCTTGTAACTCCATTAATCACAAAGACAACCAGTAATTTAAAAAAATATATAAATCTTACTATTATAAAAAGGATAATGTAATATGGTTAATATGCTACATCTTCACCCCACACATTCTGTCCACTTTGTATTTCCACAGACATCACCTCAGTGTTTGTTTGTAATAATAATTTTTCCACCTTGTCAGTTTTTTTCTGTTTTTGTATTTCTGTCATTATTAGGGATGGGTACCGGTGTCGGTTCTGACATAAATGGTAGTAACCAGACCAAAAAGCAGCGCACATTTCGGTGCTTTATTTCGGTGCTTTTTGTCCCTGAGCTGTGATACACTTTAGATTCTAGCCAATCATTTTACGTTTCCGAGGATAGTAGGCGGGGCCAGGTACGTACGTTCTGTTAGAGCAGAGCTACAGATTAAAAATGTCCAAGGCGAAGCGGTCAAAAGTCTGGCT